AGTAATGCATCGTCAATCAATTGCAATTTCGACGCTTTTAGGTGTGCGCTATTGATTTCCATGTCGAAAGTCTATTGTTATCAATGCCGTTTCATTTTCTGCTTTCAATGTGCGTTTTTTTTTTTAATTTTTCAATGGTGATGCTGAACTGAATATAAAGTGTGTATGAGTGCAAACCACGTACGTAAAATGGGATGTGGCCACCTTAAAAGCTAAACTACCGAAACCGCTTGTAATCACAAAATTATACGCTTACAGCGATTGATTGCTTTGCATACAATCATCTTCGGATGTGGTTTTTTATTGTTTTCTTTCGGCTTCCATTCAGCTGAGCGAGATTGTGCCATTTTGGTGTCGATGCACCGAAACCTGTAGACCATTATTACACATTACGCGAACCGAAAAATAGGTACACTTACCGAAAAAAAAGGTATTACAAACAAACCGTCCGGCGCATAAAATATTTAAAATCGTTTAAAAATTGCAGCTGATTAAATAGATCAGATAGGATTTACCCCGTTGGGTCGTTTTCTTCACTTCATCTTAGCGAACGCAAATTATGAATGTGCCACACTGCATAATATCCATGCTAAAAAGTGAAAGGAGAATTTGTCTTCTAGACGCTTAAAAAAGCCGTCGTTCGACCGAAGTGCGCACGTACACGTTTAATGAATTGTAAATGTAATACTTTGTTTTCGGCTTTGAACAACAAAAAACAACCGAACAGAATAAATCGTTTTCTAGTGGCAGGAACGGTTATGTCTTTGAAGACAAAATGCGAGAAAAAAAAAGAATTCGCAGTGAATGCAAGAACACTTTTGTATAATTATTCAAAGTGCACCGGTTTTCATCAAACACTTGCACTCAAGGTTGAATGCGTACAGTGGACTTTTTCTCGATTTACCAATTTGCCAAACTCGATTTTAATTACTTGCAAATAATGATTGCCATTAATAACGCGTGACACTTTTGGATCATTGCGATGGAAATTGTTTGAAGCAAAATTGCAACAATTTTCAGCATGCTTTAGGATAGATTACGAAAACATTCGGCAACATTTATGCGGGCCATTTATTACTTTTCCGCACACACCTAGTGTGTAAGGTAAAGTATTGGAATCGGTCGAAAAATTAACACCCATAAAAAATGTGTTTTCTGGGTGTTTTTGGGGCCAGGGAACACGAATCTAGCGTTTTTTCGATGTCCGAATGTATGTGCGTACCCTGTACCCTGTACCCTGTACCCTGTACGCTGTACCCTGTACGCAAAAATTTGTTAACACGATAACTTTCAAACAAGAAAAGTAATTCAAAATCTGACTTCACAGGATGATTGGGGGTGCCGAGGAATAGAAACCATTAGATTTTGAGCGACTTTGGTTGACAGGGTAAAGTGTCATGTCTGGTGTGATGCCCATGTCCATCCATGGGAAAAATTCAATTTTTCTTTCAAAAGTGATATTTAATGTATTCTTAAACACTCAAAAATGTGTATTGGGGGGTTTTTGGGTACGAGAAAACCGAATATGACGTTATTTTTGCGATACAATTCATTTTCGACACACTTTTCATACAAAAAATTCGAAAAATTTGGATTTTTGTATGGAAGCCATGCCTGTATGATATCGTAATGAGCTGAAACTTTGCACAGGTTATTTTTATCACACAAAAATACCATTCCGAAAGTTTGAAGACATTTCAACGAATATTAGGGGCACCTCCCGAACAAAATTTTAGATTTTTCGCTCTAAAACGAAATTTTGTATGAGAAGTACCCTTAATATGCATTGAAATTTCTTCAAACTTTCAGAATGTTAACTTTTTGTGAAAAAAATAACCTCTGCAAATTTTCACATGATAACGATATCATATAGGCATGGCTCCGATACCAAAATTCCCATCTTTAGTAGTTTTTGTAAGAAAAGTGCTTCGAAAATTATTTTTATCTAAAACTAATGTCAGATTTAGTTTTTCGTGAATTACTTGAGTAAAAGATTTGTAATAAATACATGTCGTGGATCACAGTGCGGAAAAGTTCATCTTACGGATTTAAGACATTTTATTTTTGTATGTTCCTAACTATTGAATAATGCATGCGGAAGGTATTTTCTCTTTCTCTCTATCAATTCGTGATTATGATTGGATCTCGATTGGTGCGATTTATAGCGCAGAATAATGGTTTTGTGATTGAATAGCTGGAAGCTTCTCTTCGTAAAGAAAGAAAAAAAAACAACTCAATTGAGTCTTGTTTTTGTTTTGTTAAATTGCCCATTGCAAACGCATATAATAACTTATGAACTTTAGAAAATCGACGGAAAAGAAATCAATTTCAATTGATTGTGTGTATGCAGTAATTATGAGAACTGTTCGGTCAATTACTGTTTAAAAGTGTAGAAATAAAATAATATATATGAAGTAACTAGAATCGTAAAAACATGCAACGCACTTTACAAAGATAGAGAAAAACACATTGCGCCATTTAGAGCATGATATAGTGAAAATCGGCATCGGCTGTCGAACGCATCTTAATAGTTTCTTCTTTTTTTTCATATTCTTCTCTATCTTCTTCAAGTGAAATACATTTACTGTTCAATGAATGCTCGCTTCGTTTCGAATGAAACCATACAAAATTGATATTTTCTTTCATGAATTTGTATCCATTGTTCAAATTTGTATTTAAAAAAATTCTTTTTTAATAAATGCTATTTAATAAATACCGCTTATACACATGTTCAATGCAAAATTTGGAACTGCCGTATCGAATTTGTGGCACCTACAAGTTTCTTTCATTTAATCAAGCCAATTTTTCACTATTTACGCACACAACAATCAATCATAATTAGTGCACAAATTGTGCGGTATTTGCAAACATGCAATCACTTACAGCGACGACGAAAAGACCGAAGATTATTTACGGTTCTGTGAACAGCCAACGTGCATATAATAACAGCGAATTGGGAAAAAAAGATTGACGAACAATATAAATCATTTAGAGACAAAGCGGAGAAAAGTTCCGCAAAATGAGAAAATATGCATCCGTCATGAAATGGCTTTCCATTTAAAAACAAACTGATTACCACACCATTTTACACTATACTGATACGGACTATTGTTTTCACATCTTACTCTCTCTCTCTATCTTGCAAAAACCCACATGTCAATGAATTCTTTTTTTTTACAAAATATTTTTTTTTGTTCCCTTACATTTTCGAGCCAATCGGATCGACTTTTTTTTAATGAAATTATATCTCTTTACGTAATTGACAAGAAAAAGCCCAGTCAATGATTTGTCGTCCGAGAAAAGGGAAAAATAAATCAATCGACTGTGCTCGATGATTCGATGAAAACGAAATTTTCGAAGGTGCAATGCTAACTTTCAATTGACCGAATCGAAAGCCAATCGAGAATATTTAATTGAATTCATTCGGCCACGTTCGAATGAACACGATGAGATGGATTTTCGTTTGATTGACCAAAGAGAAAAAAAACTTCACCGAAGAAAAAAAAATCTCTTTGCGCTAAGTCTCTCTCTCTCTCTCGCTTTTGCACCCATGAGAACCGAAATCAATTGACGATTGTCTCTCACACACTCGGTAATTTTCTATATTTTGTTTGTTGATTGCCGTTAATAAATTGGATGAACATTATTCACGCGAAATCATTTTCTTTCTTTATCTCTCATTAAATTTCAAATGAATGAGAGGAAAAATATATATGAATTATAATAAGATTATGCATTTTCATTATCCTATGACTTGTTTTACATTTACTCGATTTTTTTCGCAACTTTAATTAATGCAATTATTATTCATTTGCATCGACGTAATTTTATATATTCTCATCCAATTCAAACGTAATACACTCATCATCATTTAAAGCTAAAGCTGTTCATTAGGTCGGTAACTAGCGAAATGAATGAAGGCAGAGAAAAAAAACCCAAAATGATTTCATATTCAAATGAACGGTGAAATTAAATAATTTTTTGTTTTATTTTCATTTTCTCACTTTGTGAATTGAGTGCTGACACATGGTGTTGTATTCAGATTTGAGTGTCAGCGAAACGATACATGATATAAAGTCATGGCGCATGCGATCAACAAAATCGATGAAAAGATATGAGAAAATAAGATAACATAAGATTGAAAGGGAACAAGTGTGCTTTTCATTGAGCCAGAGCATTCGAACCACAAAAGAAAAACGAGAAGAAGAAGACCTATACAATCTCAATTTCACTGAACTCAACATCAAATTCAGCCGAACACATACAATGTGAACTTGTATGAACTATTCAAATGGTTTTGAAGCTGCCACTCATACGTCGAGCGGAGTGCTCACAGTTAAGGTTCAACGGTTTTGAAAATGCGTTAAACTCTTCTTTGTTTGTCTCTAGTTTCTTCTGCTCTATCCATTCAACTCTAGATCATAGGTTTCTTTCTCTTTGCCATCTTTCTTTTGGTTCTGCAATCGAAAGTGAAGTCGTTTCTTAAAACAGTCGAGTATCGTTTTTTTTCCTCTTTAACAATTTAATTATTGCTTCGAAACGATCGCTTGAATAACCAAATAAAATCGCAGAAGCGAAAAAATGTTCGGCCGTGCGATTGCGTATAAATTAAACGTGGCGCATTTAACTACCTCATTCATCAAAATAATAGGGTATCGTGGCCTATTGGCTGTTTTGTTGATAAAAGTGAACCCACACACACACACACACGGTTCGAAGGCGACAAACGAACAAAAAATCTAATTGAATTGAATGCCATTGTTCGTAAAAGAGTCTGTAAAATGAGTTATTTCCGAGCTCATCTGACTGGCTTTTGTCTTCAATTTGAAATGCTAATCCGTCATTTCCATTCTTAATGCATACTATTCGAGCCGCACTACAAATTTTGTAAATGGACGATACTTTCTTGAGTTAATCACATGTTTTGATGCTTAATTTCCGGCATTTTTCGATTGAAATGATTCATTAAACCGTTTTTATATTGTTTTCATTTGCAACAGCATCAGCAACAGCAACAGCAACAACAACAACAACAACAAACTCCATTGTTGGTTAGTGGCGGCACCAGACGCCAATTGACGCCAGCCCAGCAAAACCATATTTTGACCGATATTCAACAGCATCAACGCTTTGCCACCCAAAATCATCTCTTCAATCCGAATCAACAGCAAAAGGTTTTCGGCCAGAAAATCGCTCAAAATGTTTTGATTGAACCATCGCTGCAATCACAATTGCCAACGGAAACAACGGTGTTCCAGATACAAGCCGCACAAAATCCCCAATTTTCCTTCTTAAATCCACAAGTTCCACAACAGCAAGCATTGCAAGGTCGTTTCCGTAGTCAAAACAATGTTCGAACCAATGAACTTCATGCACAACATCATACACAGACCAGTTTCGTTCCAAACTTTAATGGTGCACCGCAAAATAATGTTGTGTTTCCACAGCAGCCACTATTTGAACGAAATCCACAACAAGTTTTCCAACGTTCGGTAGCAAATCAACAAGGCGATGCTAATGTTGTTTTCCGACCATCACAACCATTCCCAGTTATTCCACCAGCACCGGTAATTCCAACACAAGCAAATCCCGAGCCAACATTTAGCGGTCAATCATTACAACCCGTTCAAACATTGCAACAAAATCAATTGCATCATCAACCAAATGTGCATCAGCCAAACGTACATCAAGCCAATTTACATCAGACAAATGTGCATCAAGTGAATGGCCACCAACCGAATTTGCATCAAGTAAATGCGCACCAACCAAATTTGCATCAGATAAATGCACACCAGCAAAATGTTCAAAACGTTCAATTCGTACAAAATCCCGTTTTGTCATCGGTTCAAACGCAACAATTCAATCAATTCCAAAATCAACCCGTTCATTTCAATCAGCCGGCCGCAACAAATAATGCACCATTTTTCGGTGATATACGACCAGAAGATCCACGATACAAAGAATTCGTCGAACGACAAAAAATCATTCAAAAGCACGAACATTTTGTTCAACGAAACTATGAAAAACAATTGGCCAAAGCACGTCAACAACATCAAGATTTTGTACAACAACAGCGTCGCATTAAAGAACAAAGCATTGTTAATATGAAACAAAGACCGTCGAACAATTTCTTTCCGCCAATAACCCGTGGACGTTTAGTATCCCCGTATGAAATTGGACAATTCGAACGAGCCGTTCAAAATTATCAAAAACAATTTCCAACCACGACAAAAGCAACAACAACACCAAGTCCAATAACCGAATCGGTAGCAGCGGCTGCATCATCGACTACAACTCGTGTCAAAGCGAGCCGATCAAATGTAAAAGGTGACATTTCTGAAGATGAACTTGAACGATTGCTGTTGCAACATCGTGATAAATTGTATACACAATTGAAACAGGCCGATGATAAAACAACGAAAAAATCAAGAACAAAACCAACCAAACCAAGTGGTGATCTTTTGAAACAATTAAAATTGGCGTTGGCCGATCAACCGGCCGATTTGGGAAATTCAAACTATACTACAATGGATTTAGTTTTACCAGATGGTCAAAAGGTGCAGGTGATTCGTACAACTGATCCAAATCTTGTAAAGGGAGCAACACCATTGAATGCTGATGGAACCATTTTAGCGGAGCAACCAAGTGGACAGGCACAAACGATTGATCAAAAACCATTGATCGAAGATGCTGCCGATTCGGGTCTTATCCCGCCCGGCTCCGACTTTGAAGTGATTCGTCAATCGACCGATGGTAGTCTTCAACCTGTTGATAATTTACCACAGAAAAAGAAAGTGACATTTGTTTATTTGGAAGAACAAAATGATGGTTCGTACAAAGTGCAAGGTGTTAAAGCCAATGGTGAAAAGGAAGCCCATACTAAAGGTGCTGAAGTTGATAGCATTATAAATCGCATTAAGAATGGTGAAATTCAACTACCACCAGCCAATGTACGAAGAAATACTTTGTCACCATCAACACCCATTCAATCCAGTTCACCAGCATCTACATCGTATGTCAGTAATACGATTTATGATAGCAGTAGCCCTTCAACACATTTCATGACCAGCGCAACACCATCGCCAACTTTCTCATTCGTTAGCTCGGTATCACCATATTCAACACTGTCCACCGATCCAACAGAAGATCAAGAGAATTTGTTGACCGCATCACCAAGTTCACATTATCCCACATCAACACCGCGTACAGTTTCATCGCGATCAATTTATACAACACGTTCGTTGAGCACAACATACTCAGACAATCACATTGCATCAACCGGACAACAACAACAATCAATTTCACCTAATACTGTCACCGCACAAGCTCAAACACCAACCACCAGTCCACCAGAAACGAATACACAATCATCGGAATTGATAAATATTTTGAAAAATAATGGTTTACATGCAATGGCCAAATATTTGAAACAATCGGGTTTGGATAGCATTCTTAATGAAACCGGACCATACACACTATTCGCACCATCAGATAAAGCATTCAAAAATTTATTGGTTCAATTGGGCGGACCGGATCGCGCCGAAGAGAAATTTAAGAGCAATCCACGACTTTTGAGCGGAGTAAGTTTGATGATGAAAATTGAAAAATGTTACATCGAATATTTTCAAAGGAAAAATAACATTGAATAATCAAAAAAATATTTAAAAAATATGATGGGTCTAATGAATTTTCTATTTGCAGCTACTTTTGCATCACGTAATTCCTGGATACTTTGAGATTTCGGCTTTGCAAGACGAAATGACTGGTGTTTCTTTGGCGGGAACGCAATTGCGTGTGAATCAATACAATATGCATGACACCGAATGGAATGATGTTAAGGTGAGCAAAAAAAAATGAAAAAAATGCTTTTCAATTTACTAGATTTTTTCCATCAATGAAAAAAAAATAATACGAAACTGTCTATTCCTAGATAACAACAATTAACGGTGCAATGGTATTGCCAGAGAAAAAAGATATTATCATTCCACAAGGTGTTGCCCATTCGGTGGACAGAGTAATGTTCCCGCTTCCCGTGGGTGACATTCTGCAAACATTACAAAGTGATCGAGAACGTCGCTTTACAAACTTTTTGCGCGCACTTTTCTCATCTGGTTTAACGGAGTTGCTTCAAAACAAAGGTACATGAAGCAAAAAACAAAACATTCAAATCCAGTATTTGTTTTAACTTTTACTGATTTCTCTCCATAGATCCAAATAGTGGCCGAACATATACCGTTTTTGCGCCAACCGACTTGGCCTTCTCGAACCATACACAAGAAGAAATCAACTTAATGGTTACGGATAAGGCAACAGCCCATAAATTGGTTATGCGACACGTGACGCCAGGTACACTCTTTTCATCGGGTATGCGCTTCTATCAGGTACGTTTTTTTCCATTTCTTTTAAAAAAAAGAAGAAAAATTAGAGATTGTTTCTATAATTCGTTAATATTTTGATTTGTTTTTTGTCAGGTGCGCGATTCATTGCAAGCCGGCAACGCAATCACACTGCAAAAAGTGAACAATGGTATGAAATAGCTGGTTTTTCTTTCTCTTTCCACTTCTCACTCTCATCATTTACTCGATTGAATCAAGTTGATTCCATAAATAACTTGAAAAATTGTTAATTACTGTTTATAAATTTATAGGTAAAATCAAAGTGAACGAATCGCAGATGGTTTCATCAAATATACCAGCCACAAACGGTGTAATTCACGTGATCGATTCATTACTTTAAAAATCGGTCACACAAAGCCAATTCCTAATTTTAAAGCCACACATATAAAAATTCTTCTAACAAAAAAAAATAATTTTGATGCGCCAAAAACGTATCCCGTAGAGAGATAAATAACTGTGGGAGCGACAACGAATGCTAAACATAATCTACAACATTTTATTGTTAAATTTAAGGCCATTTTAGTATGTATCTTCTGTCCTATTTAAAATTTTAATATTTTAGTTTTGTATCGATAATAATGATTTTTGTAAATAGCTCATTTACTATGTTCAATAGAATGGAGAAACCACATTTTCTTCCTCAAATATTTATTTTCACTGACAAACTCATAAAATATTTACTCCTTTTTTATTTCGAAAAAGTGCCGAGTGAAATTTTTCTTTGGCAAATCAGAGAGAGAAAGAAAAAAGAGTAAATTTTGATGAGTCAAAATTGTGAAATTTCATTTAAAAAAAATCATTTTCCAAAATAAAATAAAATTTACGAAAAAAGAAGGAATTAAGTCTCTTACACAGCATAAAATTGATGAAACTTACGCATTATTGGTCCAATTGTTGAACGATATGCTTATCTATCATAAAATTCCTTCAGCAAATACAAACGGTAGATCCCGATTTAAGCTAGATAATATTGTGTAATTTGTAAAATGTACGAAACAAACGAATAAGAATAAAGTTTTGTTTCATCAGAATTTAAAAGAAAACACACTTTGATCTTTTTTTGATTGATTTTTTGTTGCTGTTTTATTTATTTATTTTTTTTAATCAACAGAACTAAATGATCCATAACAATATAGATATTT